TTTTTATTTATTTTTGAGAGACAGAGAGAGACAGACAGACCATTTCTGCCAGCAGAGTTTCAAGGTACTGTGGCAAAACCAGTAATGACTCTAATCATTTACACTCCATATTTGGATATTTATTTTGATCACCAGTTACGATTTTATTGCTGTTTCCTTAAAATTATATATATTTTAGAAGTTTGTTAGAGTATTACATGGAATTTTATTAGATTATATAGAAACTTTCCAGTAAGTCATTCTTTTAGAAATTTGAGTACACCTATCATTTTCTCTGTCATTCTTGCTAATCAATAATCCAATTATAAAATATATTTTTAAAGTGACTTTTAAAGAAGTTCAAATAATTTTGATTAACATGTTCAAAGTTAAAGAAAGTTCATCTGCAATTAAAAAAATAATAATTTCATGAACAAAGCCATATGAAACAGTGACTCTTTGTCAAACAGCATTTGACGTTCTAGGTGGTTCCCTAGGCAGGGGCACAGAAGAACTGGTCTTGTATTGAAGCTACTTAAACCATGTAGGGAAACCTGACTCATGAAAACAGCTGTCCTTGTTTCCATTCTTCTGCTGTAATTCATTAATTAATTGATTAATCTGCTGGAATTGATTAATTCTCCACACTGCAGCCAAAGTCATTCTTTTAAAATGCAAATCAGATTAATAAGTGTTTCATGGTGACTTTGCAAATGTAAAATTTCAACTGAAAGCTGTAGTCCATAATGAAACACTTGTAGACATTTTTAAAAAGCAAATCATATCATGTCCCTCCTTTACACAAAACACTCCAGGGGCTGAGAATAAACACTAAAACCTTTACCTGGGCCTGAAGGTAGTCAGCTCTGACCACAAATTTGTGACTCACTTGTCTGCCAGCACTTCCTCTGCATGGCCTCAGCTCCAACCGGTCTTACTTCCTGCCTACCCTTGTCTACCCTGAGTACTCTTTCATTTCAGTCTTGCATTCCCTAGTTCCTTGCCTGGAATACTTTTCCATCACATATATCTTGAACTTATTCCCTCATCCCTTTTAGGTCTCTACTTCCTCCTAGACAATCCTTGATCTTCTTAAATAAAATGGCACCACTTGTCACATTCTACCCCTTTAAGTCATATTGTTTTTCCTGTTAGTTTTAGGTAAATATCTGTTTAGTTCCTCCCATTATTGATTTCAGCCTTCATGAGAGCAAGAACTTTGCTGTGTTCATTGCCATGTCTCTAGCATCTTAAACAGTCCCTAGAAGCTCCACCACCAGCCTATATCTTGGATTTTTATGAATTAGAAAACGTCACTTCTGCCTCAAATTATTAGAATGCCAACACCTGGTGATGATAATGATCATTGTAAAACAACATAGTAATTATGATGTGAATGTCATCCCCTGGAGTTGTGCAATGCATGATTTGCACAATTATAAACACTGATTCTGCTCTTGACATGTTGTTGTAATCAATAAATATTGAATTAATGCATGAATGAAATGACATGATCTTTTCAAAGAAATACCTGTAAATCTAAATTAGTTGTAAAATGTAGCTCTGGAACATATTTTTAATGGCCGTTATATGGGTGTCACAAGATAAAAAAAATTTGGTTACAGCCTTTGAAATTGCACTAAAAATATATCAAGTCGGATGAGACTAAATAGAAAAGTTAAGGAGAATAGCCTTTAACAGATGTTCACTTATGGTTTGAGAGAAAAGGGAAATTTTTCCTTTTGCTCAGATGTCAGTCTTGAAATTCTCACAATTTTTGCAGACAGTTTGGCTGGTTTCCAAACATTCATCGTTGCTTGTCTGGTATGAGGAATGCCATCTGTGCAGTATGGAAGTCCTTTTTCAAGAGTGGATTGCTAATTATGCTCTGGGCAGGTGCTGTTAAAGTAAAATCAGGTGTCAAGCTTACCATGGTCTAAAATGACTACATTTTGTTGAAAAAAAAAAAGGCATAATTATGTAAAATGGAATTTAAGCATGGCAGGTAAGCGTTCCATTTTTGGGGTGTTGCAAAGTTCAGATTGCACAGCAAAACTTTAAGATTTTCAAACTACTTCTATCAACAATGGAATAAAGCTTTACCTTAAGTCAGGGACATAGGCTACATCAAAGTTCTATATTTCCTACTAAAATATCTTCCCAATTATATTTTCTTTTCTGAAACGTCCATGAAGGAAGAACAGTGAGATGAAAAATGTAACCACCAATTCCAAAGTACATAAATTAATTTTTGCAAAATTAGGTTTAACTACTACTAAATGGAACCCATTCTATTATCAGAGTAAATAGACCTCATTAGAGTTGTTTAGCTCCCTCCAGAGTCAAACGACCAATTTATTTCCTTTATATCTTTACATATATATATCAATTCAAAGGAAGTATTGCAGGCCCTCATAGTTTTACCACTGATTTTTGATAACACTCATTTGATATGGTGCTAACTCATATAAAGCAAGATAGAAAAACTTCTCAATTTTTAAAGAGTATAGACATGTCTACTATAATAAAAAGTCTTCATTATCATTATAAGAATCTAGATTTGTTGTTGCTTATTGTGTGTGACTTACTGATATTTGCAATATAATTAATACATTATATTGTTTAAGCCTTACAGCAGCTCTTTTAGCTCTTTTAGTCCAGTATTGCCCTAGGCTACAGGTGAGATAATTGTGTTCAGTAAATGTAAGTGTCTTGTCTAAACTCACATGCCACTAACTGACAGAACCGGGGCTCATAAGCAAGTCTTTTGCACCCTAAAGCCTGTGTTTTAACTATTTCAAAAACAGCCTCTTCCCAAAACAAGTATATTAGGTAGAAGGATTTCCTTTA